AGACCAGACCCACACTCCTTTCCCAAGACCTTCGAAATTTTTCATCCTCCTTCCTCCTCCTCTTTCCTTCTTCTCTTTCCTTCAATATGTATCTCTATTTCCTCTCTGGTTCAAGGTCGTTTCTCGTCGCATTGCGTGAAATCGGTTCGCCTGTTGGATTCGAAACATTTTTCATTCGATCATCATTCCTGTTAATTATTTTTCAATTGAATATAATTCAATGACAATAAATAATTTGTTCTTTGTAAGTAAGGTGGTGGTGGTTGATTTGTTTTCAAATGAAGTGGCGAGTGCAATGAAAATATTTTTATACGATATTGGATATTAAATGATAAGGAAACAAAAATATATCTTTTGCACAAAAGTATAAAATTGTACGAAAAATAAATGATGAAGTATCACGTTTTTTTCTTTTTTTTTTTTTTTTTTTTTTCGAAAAATTATTTAACTAATTCGAATTCGAAGTTAATTTTAATTTGAAACAATTATTTGTAAGTAACGTCAACGAAGGTTTTAAGAGAAGAAGGGGGGCTGAAAAAATGAAAGTATCCAAGTATTGTATTGCTGTTGCATTTATGTTAATTACTCGTGTAGGTTTCTTTTCGGTCATTAAAATGAATTTATCGGTTTACGAAATGGTAATAATGATAAAGTATCATTCCTTGTATGTCACAATTATCGTATTATCATAATAACAATATTTTAATATGCTCATTGGTATTTCACACTTGCATAAAATCAATTATCGGTTGTTTACGAATTTAAATAACATTTTGTGTTACGTTTGTGTTTCCAAGGTTCATCCTTAAAATACTATAATCATTTATCTATATTCGTTGAATTTTGATTCAATACTTCGAACAGAATTTTATTTTAGTTTCGATTAAACGTCGAATAAAAAACTACAACGTCAATGATTAAGAACGTGATTCGAGTTCGCAATTTCATTGGGAATTATCGATCGTGTCCTAACCCACCATTAACCAAACTTGTGAATTAAGTGTAGAGATATATATATCTGTGTTTGTAAATTTGTATTATTATATAATCATGTGTGGGTTTGTTCGTAACTATTAAAACATCTAATTTATTATACAAATTTCTCCACCCGCGCGATTTAGAAATGAAATCAAGGATTCATACGTGAATAATAATCAATCGAATTATTACACACTTTCCTAAATGAATTATTTAATAATAATAATATCTTTCTATTTTTTTTTCTTTCTTTCTTTTTTATTTTGTTAAATAATGTATTTCAATATATGAATATCATAAATTGTTTAAATTTCAGACGATAAAGTGAAACGTGTGGTTAACATAGATTACTTGATGATTTAGCTAATGAAAAATTTGTCACGATGATGATAATATTATTATTGTTAAAGAAAATGTTAGAAATTAGAATTAAAAGTATAATTATTTCTTAGAATAAACTCTGTGCAGTGTTTTCCGCAACAATAATAAGCAACGTAACAGCGATAACATTTTTATATCATAGCGATAGATAAGCGAATGATAAGTTACACCTTTTTTCAAATTTAACCAAAACACTCGTTTTGTTTTTTAATAATAATAATAATATTTTAATTGATTAACACTAATTTCCATTATAATTCATTAAAATGTAATATTTAACAATAATTTAATCAAAAGTATCTTTCTAATTTTGTAGTGTTTCATCGATTCCGAAAATTCGAATTAATCGCCAACGAATTTGAATAAAAAAAAAAAAGAAAACAAAGAACAACAACAGACGAATAAAAATCGGGATTCGTCACTTCCGGGACGAATGCGAACGCTCTAGAAAATTGCGGATGAACGTGGTGGTTGGTGGTGGTAACCAACAACGGAACGAGGCCGTTCAAATGACGAATGTTGTCGTCATCGTCATCGTCTCGTGCTGCTGGTATTCGCGTACGTCACGAAAAAAAAAAGAAAGAAAAAAGAAAGAAAGGGGTGGGAGGTGGAAAGGAATGGAGAGGAGAGGAGGAAGAAAAAAGATAATAGAACAAAATTCTGATCAAACTCTCCTTCTCTCTCTCTCTCTCTCTCTCCATTTTTTTTTCTTTTTCTTATCATCGTATTGGTCGTTGGTTATCAGGCATTCCTCTTCTTTTATTTGTTAATAAAACGTGTGTTAAATCGTTACAAACATATGTGCCACGTTAGAAAGAGAGAAGAATACGAGCATAATCATTTCGAACGAGATAAGTCGAGCGTGACGAGTCTGTTATTGCTTTTTCAGATTAAAAAAAACTCTGAATAAGAGATAAAAAGTAAGCTTAAGTGTTTTACTTTAACGAAAGTCACGTACGCGAAGAATTTCAAAAAAGAAAAAGAAAAGAAACAAATATGTCTGAATTTCCTGCTGATTCGAAATTGTGATGTAACACATGATGGCAGCCATATTTATTTGCAACGGTACACTAACAACACAAACTCCTCGCTTTATACGTTTAGGAAACTACCGTACGAATGAACGAGAACCATTCAAGTTTATTCAACGTGGCATCTGTGACTTCCGGTAGAACAATTAATGGAAACTATGTAACTTCCTTTCGATAGTTCAATGTATTGTTTATCAAACATTGTTAAAAAGAAGAATATAAAGAAAGAGAAAGAAAGAGAGGGGATATTAGATTGTTTAAAAAAAGAATGTAATATTTGTTTACATTACATTAAACGTGTATTTTAGAAATCAGGAAAAGTAATTAGTCATTTTGAGTGAGTGAGTGAGTGAGCCGCCATTTTGTTATTTTCATGATCACTACGAGCCTCACGTAAAGAATTTCAAGGACCTGTTTTCTGCTGTCGTCGTGTATTAGAATTCACTCGCATATCTTTCTTGCTCAGAGATTCCTTTTCTTCGTTTACAAACATCGTGGTATGGGGATGTATGGGTAAAAGTAAACGAACGAGATCGAGGAGGAATGTATGGGTATTTGAAAAAAAAATCATGGTTAGGTTATTTCGAGGAAGAAAAAGGAGAAGGAGAAGAAAAGTGATCTTTTTGTATCAGCCATTAAAGATGGCGACAGACAGGCGTGTGTCGGGTTTGTTGCAAATGTTTCGGTTCTGGCCGAGTGACCAACGACGACCACCACCACCATCATCACCATAACAGACATACTACAAGTTTTTTTCTATCTCTATCTATCTCTCTCTCTCTCTCATTCTCATATATATTTCCATAATATTCTATTACGAAAGCATCGATTTGATAATAAATTCAGCATTTTTGTTTTGCTGACCTTTTTTTGTTTGACCACACATCAAATTTTCATTTCGTTCAATTTATTTTTAACGGAAGTTGATTGTTTGTGTGTTTGAAGAAACAATAAGACCTGAAATAAACACGAATTCATTTTCACGATGCAAATATAATATAACACGTTTGTAATAATGTGCTCTCGACCTCTCTGACGAGCGTAAACATGTGTCGTCGTTGAGTATAATATATTGTGAACGGTAGGAAAAGAGGTGAGGAAGAGGAGGAGGAGGAGGGAGGAAGGATTCGATGTGGTGGAGGAAAAAGAAGAAGAAGGGTCTATGGTAAAGGGAGAAGGGGGAAGAGTAAAAGAACATATGCGACAAACGTATGGAACAAACTTAACGAACGTATGAATACGTTCACTTCATCAACATGATGACACCCAAGAACTTGCGGTAGCCGACCGATAATCGGCCATCAAGTTAAACCACGTTTCATTAAGAAACTTCTTTTTTTTTTTCTCTCGGAAAGGAAGCGGCTTCCTTCCGGGCTTACAAAAATATCAGCAGCTAAAAAATATAGCGACAATAGCAACAGCAGTAGCAACAACAACCGGTCGGCCTCGTCCCATATAGGATTTTTGTTTTGTACGAAAAAAGGAAGACCAAAAAAATGCGAACTGAAAAAGTTGTTTTGGCAAAGTAATAATAATAATAATAATAATAATAGTAGTAATAGCGAGACACGATAAACGTTTTGACGAAAATTATCAAATACTTTTTAGGATATTTTTTGTTTGCTTCTTTTTGTTTGTTTGTTGCGTAGGAAACGAAATAATAACAAGCAAGAGTAGTTAAACGTTTTAAAAACGAGTGTTGTTGATAGGAGGGCAATCCCGTTCGAGAAATTCGAAACGGTTCGCGTCGCGTCGACGAATAACGCGGCCATCTTTGTCCTATGACACGGTCTCCGATGCATTCGTTGTGTGAAACTTCCAGAGAATTCTACGCGAGAACTGCGCATCGTGTTCTGCCTTTCCTTTTATATTATCTCTCATTCTATTTCTCTTGTCCTCTCTCTCTCTCTCTCTCTGTCTCTCCCACACACACACACACACACACACTCTCTCTTAAAAAGAGAACTAAATGTGTGTATATATATATATTTATACAAAATCATCGATTCTAATCTTTTCCAATGTGAATTCATTGGTAAAACTTCTACTACAAACAACAAAGTCACATGAGAATATTTTCTAAGTAACCGTAAGGTGCGATTAAAAGAGAAACGCGTTCAACAGGGTCCCCCGTAATGGCGTCGTTTGTCGATGTGGCCAACTCGCCATGAGCGTTTTCATCGTTTCGTAGCCATCCGGAAGTTGACGCCATGACGAGAACGAACCGAGACGAATCGTTCCTAGTTGTGGCGCCATCTCTTGGTATCTCAAACATAAGCTTTTATTTTGAACCCTTTCGGTGTTACACAGATGACGCCATGATGCTTTACAAGAAGACCCGGTTAGTGCTGGATTGTTTGAATCCAAGTACCCCGGGGTATAATAAACTATTAACAAATTTTATACCCACCAACCTCTCCCCCCCGTTCCTGTTAATGATCTTTTGCCGAAGGATTAAATCATTCATTAAAATATTTGATCATTTGAAATATTCCCATTTAAAATCTAATGAAAATTGATGAATTTAATTAATAAAACTATCTCCCTACTTTTAAATCGCATTATTTCGCGTATGATATAATTAATCGACACATTGTTTATTTATTTTAGTGTGCGGATTTTGTAAAGGCTGGTGCAGAGCAGGGATTAACACCTTCGGACGTCGTACTGGCAGCCGACATTACGTTTTCCTGCGTGGCTGATCCCCAAGCAGCAAAGCACGTATGTATTAAAAATCAAATGAAATACAAAAATTATGCAAATGTTCAAAGGAATTGATCTTTGAAGTAGTAAACTGTCTGCCAGCCAACCAACCAACCAACCAGCCAGCTAGCAAATAGACAAGCAAAACGTTGTATCAACAAACTAACTGAAGTTTCATCTTTTCAGATGGTATTTGGTAACTGTGGCGTATTGATGGAGATATCTTCTGACAAGGGTTACGTAGAAATGACAGGAATAGACGCGGAAACGTCGCAGGACATCGCCGAGGCGATTAACGGTAAAGGTGGTCGTTACCTTGAAGCACAAGTCCAAGGTAGCAAGACTCAAGCTCAAGAAGGAACATTGGTCATTCTTGCGGCTGGAAATCGTACGCTATTTGATGATTGCCAATCGTGTTTCGAGGCAATGGGTAAAAACAGTTTCTACCTTGGCGTAGTTGGCAACGCTTCCAAGATGAATCTCGTGTTACAATTGATGGCTGGCGTTACATTGGCTGGCCTTGCCGAAAGTATGGCCCTCGCTGATCGAGCGGGACTTCAACAGAAGGATGTTCTTGAAGTTTTAGAATTGACCTCTTTAGCTTGTCCAGCAATTATCGATAAAGGAAAAGGTAAGAGTTTCCAACAATTATTAACCCCTTGGCTTACGCGATATCTGCCAATTGTGCGTGCCATAATAAACAAGAGAATCGCGCCGTGCCATTCATCTGTTCAGCCCGCGTACTTGAACTGGCGCAAAATGTCTTACTTTCATGACATATGTTTTTCAGAGCAATGAAAGAAATTGTTAAATAATAAACAATGTGTAGGTACAAATAGTAATTTTTTATACGTCTAGGATGCAATCATAATCAATTAATCAGTTGACAAAAATAATGTATTATTTTAAAATAATGAATAAATAGCAATTTATAAATGAATACTTATTTAAGTGAATGAAAAAGAAAAAAATCATGATCATCATTGATGGTTTTTGTTTTTCAATCAAAGAAAAAGTATTGGATGTGGAATAAATCCAATCGCTTGTTCGAATAATTATGCACCGATTCCTCACCACGGGCCTGACTCGTGGTTTTCGTTTATGACACAAATTTTTCACCACGAGTCTGACTCCTCGTGGTTATAGGCCAAAGGGTTAAATCCAACATTTTTATTTGTTTTTGATGATGATTATTATTATTATTAAGTATATATGATTAATATTTTATTGTTTTTGATATTTCAGCTATTATCGAGGGTGGTTTCCCGACGCAATTACCGCTCCAACACATGCAGAAAGATCTTAGACTGTCTTTAGAAATGAGTGATCAATTAGAACAACCTTTGCCGTTGGCTGCAGCGGCGAATGAAGTTTACAAGCATGCAAAACGTGTTGGTTACGGGGAGCATGATGCATCAGCTGTATACATTCGAGCCAGGTTTTAATGAAGGAAGAACATCGTCGGGCTTTTGCTAAGATCATATTTATTGCAATACCTAACGTTGTTTCCCAGCGCTAAAATACATAGACGGAAAGAGAGAGAGAGAGAGAAAGTGATAGATGAAATAGTTAAAATGCGTCAACTTGTCGCGAAAATCATTGGTAATGTCCACATATCTGACAATGAATGAATGAATTAAAGAAAGAGATCAAGCAAACAAGATAAAGAGAGAGAGAGAGACACAACGAAGTAAGTGAAAATAAAAGAAGACGAATAAATGAAGCGCATCATCTTTATGCACGTCAAAAACAAATGAAAACAACAACACCACCCAAAATATGTCCGATTAAAATAATATCTCTGTTACGGAATATTATTATAAATATAATAAAATCATACTTTTGTTGAGGAAGAAAATAAGACCGACCCATTTATCGTGGAATAATAATGTATTATTAACATTTTTCGCTAAATCCAATCACATCAAAGTAAGAGTTTGAAAGAATTATTTATAAAACAAACTAAGAATAAAAATATCATTGACCAGAATGATGATGATGGACTATTATTATATTATTATAATAAAATCAGAGAGTCAGATGTAGAGAAAGAAATATACGAATTAAGGAAACAAACAAAAACAAAGACAGAAATACAAAAAAACATCAGAGAAATGTGTTAAAACAATCGAATATAACAACGGTGGATGATGGATTTCTTTTTATCTTCGTGGTCGAGATTCAAATCTACACATACGTATACGTAGGCGTGCATATATATATATATATATACACACACATATACAAATATACACATATGCGATTGTCATACATTTATTACACAGAGAGGAAGGTGCAATTATCGGCGTAAATATTAAGAGTTGTAGGAGGAGGTGGAAGTGATAAGGGGGTGAAGATATAACAAATGGTGATATATAAATGTGTGTATAATTGTACCATGGTTTTTTTTTTTTTTTTTTTACTATCGTTCGATAGTAAAAATGTCACGTGACATTGGTGGTCTCTTACACGACGCGCGGTAGTAACGCGAACAAAAAAAGAAAAGAAAAGAAAAGAAAAAGGAGCGTATAGAAATTCGTTCTTTCGTGAGGAAGAAGATAAAGAGGAGGAGGAGGAGGAGGAGGAGGGGGTGGGATAAAAAAAAAGAAGAACAAAAGAAAAATACGATGCACAAGAGAGACGACGCGAGTCGATGGTTAATTTCTCTCGAGTCGCGTCCAACAAAAAAATAACTTAAAACCTTTCTATTGTTTACCATGAAAAACTTACAAAATTATACTCTACATGTGTATATTGATGAACTATAATAATAGAACGTCGAATCTAAGTTAAGAGACTCCGGGACGCGTCGAAAATGTGCCTTACGATGCTACACGACGCAACAAACCATTTCCTTAGACAAGAAGAGAGAAAGAGTGAGAGAAAAGAAAAGAAAAGAAAAAAAAAAAGGATAAAATAATAAAAAAGAAAAGAAAAAAAAGAAAAAAAAAAAGAAAAGAAAAATGGCGTTCATTTATTATTAATTAATTTTTTGAAAGAGTTGTTCAGCTTGCGCGTTTCGAGAGCATCAACGATCGACACCGCGCGAAAGAAAATTTGCGTCTTACGTTTCACTATTACGTAGACACAACATGTTATAATACGTATTAAAGGAAGAAACAATTAAAGAAAATGAACAAGCCGATGACTATGACGATGACGATGACGATGACCAACGACGACGACAGCGACAACAATGATGACGATAATGATGACAATGACGATGATTATAATATATATATATGTATAGATATATATCAATGAAAGAATGAATTCTGTCGCTTCGTAAAAAAAAGGTTTTTCTTATTTGGAGATGTGTGTCTGTCGCATGTGCATATAAAAATGATAATAAAATAATAAAAGAAAAAGAAAACTTTCATTCTTGTACGAAAGAAGAAGAAGAAAACACGCTAATGATGTTTATTATTATTGAACAACAGCGCACGTTTCCGGTTGTTGGTATATATATATATTTTTTTTTTCTTTTCTTTTCTTTTTCTTTTATTCAAGAGAAAATCTCTTATACTTATTTAAAATGAATAATGATCATTTTATCACCATTATCGATGTATCATTAAATATATATATATATATATATATAAATTTTGTTGTTTTTTTTTTTCAATTAAAACTTTCATTTTTCAATAATATATATATATATATATAAATTTTGTTGTTTTTTTTTTTCAATTAAAACTTTCATTTTTCAATATGAAAATCAATTGAAAAAGTTTCGATATGCAATATGTTTGAAAAAAAAAAAAGATTCAATACTTTAAACAACGGGTGTGTTCTTCTTCTCTCCGTTCATTTAAACACAGATTTTGTTGACTAACGTTTATATCGATTTAAAAAAAAATGATTTTAAATGATTAATACGAGGGCGCAGAAAAATGTTTCGCAATAGTCGTACGTAGGAATCTATCGTTTGAAGGGGAATTTAATTTCTTTTAAATTAACGAAATAATGGAGAAGAGATGAAAACAATGGAAGAAACGAAAGGTAAAGTAAAGTAAAGTAAAAGGGTTATAAGATGAGGGATGATAATGAGAAAACACTCGGGAGGAGGGGATGTTTTATCTGTTTAGTAGAAAAAAAAAGAAAAAAAAAAAATCTGTTGTTTTCGGTGCGTGGGAAATTGCGTAGCGTATAGCTATGGTGGTGGCTGCGCGCCATATCAAATATTGTATATGTAATTAGAAATAACATTTAGGATATATATATATATATATATATATTTAATGATACAT